AAAACCAGCTGGTCAGTGACTGAGGCACTTTTTCTATTACACCAACAGTAGCTCCAAGAGGGGAAAGATGAATTTTTTTGGTGCGGGGGTAGGATATGTATACATGTGTGTGGGTGTTATGGAATCATTTCAGGAAGGTTCCATAGGATGAAATTGAGGAGGACCATCAAGCAAAGTGAAGGCATCCAGGATGGAGGATGGACGGGGCATGGCAAGGTCCACGTGGGCTGGAAGGGGACGCGTGAGATATGGGAACTGTGGGGCCCTCAAATGTCATGGTATAGTATTGAAGCTGATTTGTGCCACTTCAGGGTTTTAAACATAGGTATGCTATAATTAAGGTTTTGCTCTAGGAGAGGTGGACTAAATCTGAGGAGAGTTCAGGGGTTCAGAACTGGGGGGGTGGGGTTGGGATGTGGTAGTAGTAGCAGGAGGAGACTTGAATGAAAGTGACTATGCAGGAACTTGGCAAAGAAAAGACTCATCTGTGGATGTGTTGAAGATATTTGAGCTAGAAGGACCAAAAGCTGTATTGATTGCAACAAAACAGTTATGAAATGTCATTTTCCCCTAATTTCCAGACAGCTCCTCATTCAAATCAAAACATGTTGTTTACCACATAATCACATAATATCACCAGCTGTTTGTGTTGTAGGAAGGCTTTTACATGCTTTTCTCACACTCAAACAAGAAAATTCCCCTTTGCTGAACATTATTGCTAAAATATGACACATGAAATAAATAGGCATTGAAAATCTAATAGTACATCTTCACTTCTGGCCCTAGGAAAAATCAGAATTATGTATTTTTAATTTATTTAAAGCAGTGGGGATCACTTTTATTTTCACTTCTAGTCAGTTCTAATCTTTCAACACAGATAAGAAAATGGACTTCATTCCAGTCACCCCCCACCCCCTGAAATTATATTCGTGTTAAATCAGCCATGCAATCTTTGGCATCACTAATCCAAAGGCTTAAGAACTTTAAATGCATACAGATATTGAAGAAAGTCTTTACCTTCGAGAAATCAGGGCGTGGTACAGGTAACACACTTAACACTGTAACAGATTTTCCTACCACCGACACTAATTTTCCAAACAGAGTATCACAACTGGTGAAGTATACAGAGATCTGGCAAAAAGCTTTTGGGTGGGTAACATTTACATTAACACTTAAAAGGCTAGTTGTCAAGTTTTGCTATGTTGTTTACATTGAACTAGATTATCATCTGCTTTTTATTTTTCTGAATGATATGTTAGGTAAAAGAAATCCAGTACATGTACTATGTGTAAGAAACTTGGAATATTAGCCTTTATCCTCTTTGCTAATTCATTCTTTTGATATCTGCAATAATAATGACTAAGAAAATGACGTATATGAAGTTAGGCAAACAGGTCATCATCTTTGGCCCAAATCATCTTGGTTTTAAATGGAATGGTAATATCATTTAGAATTGCATTCAACAGATACTTTTAACACATTATTTTATGTGGTCAGAATTACACATGGTAAAATGATTTTGCCATGTTTACATTTTTTGACTTTTCACATCCTTGCACACAAATAAAAGAGGAAAAAGAACTAAACAAAGATATGCACATATTTTTGCCAGGATACATGTACTGGACTGTTTTCTTACCCTCTCCGTTTCTGCTCACACCTTGAGTTTTGTTTAAATTTAAGTTCTATACAGATAGAATTACATGAACTGAATTGGAAATGCATGCCTGTACACAGACACACTTTTCTCCAGCACCCTAACTGCCAATAATATCCATGCCTCTTTATTCTTCCATTGCTTTTGCTCTTCCACACCGATCCCCAGTTTACACAATGAAGTGATCCTTACTTTTAAACCTATCTTTCTTCTTTCTTTTTCTGTATAGCTGGGGAGTTGCCTTAACATTTTTTTAATATGCAAGCAATTTTTCTAATACTGATGTATTTCGTTCTTTTAACCACACTATTCTGTTAATAGATCGTAAACCCTGACCTACCCCCTAATTGTGGTATTTCTCTGGAATGGATTCTTGTACTTGATTTTCGATCTTTCATCGTTCTATTTACATGCCCATGGCTGTTGCCATAGGTAGGGAGTGCAATTTGGAATGCTTTTCCACGTGAAGCATTTGCTATAGAATACATGTATAGTCAGTCTGCCACTCAGCTCTCAGAAAGAGCTGTTAGTACAAGAACTGCCACGATGACATAATTTCTTATAGCACGCTTCCACTCTTACAGTTAAACTCACTTCCGTCACTCCCTGCCCCACCTAGAGGGAAACAGTGTTTCTAGTAGAGGCAAGTGTTTCGTTGAAATATTGTGCATCTGTTGGTATCCTACCGTTTTCAAACTTGTCTTTTCGTGTTGTTTCTATATAGATGTAGTGGTGCTTAAAGAGCTGTTTACCCTGTGCCCAGGACCAGACCAGGGGGTGGGGTGCGGAGCTGTTTCCCACGGAATGGTGCTCTCCACCCCAGCGACCCACCCCTCACTCTCCCACCAGGTTCCATTTTCCTTCGGAGCTCCTGTTCCCCTGCCGCACGCACGTCTTCTGATGTGGGCTTCCATCGCCTTCCCGTTCCCGCTGCTTTCCTCGACTAAGGACAGATACTTCGGAGTGGTCCACAATTTTCAACACTTTCACACTTATCTCATTTGTTCTTTGAAACACTAAGACCAGGTCAGACCCCTTCTCTTAATCTTAATTTCTAAGGCACAGGCCCACTGATTCACCCTGTCAAGGCTGGAAGCGGGCTGTGCATTCACCCTCCTGGCTGGACCACTTTTCCTGTCTTCCTCACACGGAGAACGTGGCAGGAGGTAGAGAACGCACCAGGCGCTACAACGCCTTTGTTTTCATTAATAACGCGCACCGGGCCTTTACAAGTGTTTGGAAAATGCCCCACAAAATGTAGAACACGGCTTTTCCTGGCTAGATTTCGTTCCTTCGCTCTCATTTCCTGTTTCTCGGCCTCTCCCTAGTTTCTCTTCCCATTCACTTCAGGCCACAGTACTGCAAATCTCTCTCTCTCTCACAGAAACTTCCCGTTAGCGTCCTTCCCATCGCCAGGGCGGTTTCCCACGCGGGGCGGCCTCAGGGGCATCGTATGGGGGTGTCGGGCCCGCCTGGGAGCCCCAGCGCGCTCACCTAGGTTTGCAAGAAAGTGGAGCACGCAATCGCAATCGATGTCCGCTGCGCCCGGCCGGCCCACTCCCCCACCCCGCCCGTCCGCTTCCGCCCCGTCGCCTCCCCGCCCCCGCCGACCCCCGGCGCGGCCCTGACCCCCGGCCCTCCCGGCCGCCGCGGGAACGGCCGGGCTGCGCCGGCTGCCTCCTCTCTGCTGCCCTAGAATCCCGCGTATCTGCTCCCCTGGGCGCGGAGGCGGGGCAAGGGGAGCCGCCCGCGAAGGCGTCAAGGACTCGGCTCCCGGACGCCCTCCTCTCCGGGATCCCTTCTGGGGCGCAGGGCTGGCCTCCCCTCCCCGCGGCCCCGGCAGGGGTCTGTAACTCCCGCCTCCCTCTCCTCCTGCAAGTTCGCCTGCTTTCCTAAATAACTAGCGCGGGCGGGCACCCCGACTCCCGGGGTTGCGTAGCGAGGCACGCGTCTCTGCCTCGCCCCCATCCATCCCTCCAAGGTGAAACGCAGCTGGGGAGGACGCCCCCGCCTCGCCCGCAACGCGCGTCGCTCCCAAACCCAAACAATGATGCCCCTTCCTTCCTCGCCCGGCCCTGGCCGCCAGCCGCACCCCCGCGCGCACCCCCACGGCGAAAGCGCCGGCCGCCGGGGCCGCCCCAGCCTGGACCTCATTGTTGCCCAGCGCGGGCGATGACGGACGCCCGGGGGCCGTCCCCGCGAGCAGCCTCGCCGCCAGCCCCGCAGCTCCGGCCGGCCGCCCCAGTCGGCTCCGCCCACACCTTTCCAAGTTAGCTGGCTGGTGCGCCGCGGGGAGGACTCCGGCGCCCGGCCCCCTCCCCTCCCGCACGCCCCCACCCGGGCGGGAGCGCGGAGGGGGCGGGGGGCGAGAAGGCTCCGCGCTGTATTTGTCTCCGAATTCTCTTCCAAATGCTGCCTTGCACGCTCTGACACAAAAGAGGGGACTTGCTCGCGGCTCTGCGCGAGTCCTGGCCTGGCGAGTTGAGACCCGGGGGTTCTCCCGCCGCGAGGCCCCGCAGGCCCCCTGGGCCGGCGGCTCCCGGGGCTCCGTGGCCATGTGTAGGTTATTTTGGGCGCCGCAGCAAGGTGGTGCAGGTGAAAGGGAAACGCGGCCGAGGCCGGAGGCCGGGAGGCGGGGGCAGGG